AGATATAGAAATAACCTAAGTTCCCATCAGCAGATGAATGGATAAAAAGTGGTGTATATATATATATACAATGACATACTAATATTGTTCAGCCATAATAAAGAAGGAAATCTGGTCATTGGTGTCAACATGGAGGCACCATGAACCTTGAGAGCATTATGCTAAGTGAAACAAGTCAGATAGGGAATAATAAATACTTTATGACCTCACTTACATATGGAGTCTAAGGCTGAACTCAAAAACAGAGAAAGATTGGTGTCTACCAGGCCTGGAGGGGGGGAAATGAGGAGATGTTAGTCAAAGGGTCCTAACTTCCAGTTGTAAGAGGATCAAGTTCTGGGGTCTAGTGTGGTGTATAGCATGGTGACTATACTTAACAGCAGTGCCTTGTATATGTGAAAGTTGCTAAAATTAGAGTATATCCTAAATGTTCTCACCATGACAACAACAAAAAAGGTAATTATGTTAGATGAAAAATGTATTAACTTTATTTATTGTGGTGCTCATTTCATAACATATACATGTATCAAATCATTGTTGTAAACCTAAAACTTATACATTGTTGTATGTCAATTATATCTCAATAAAGTTGGGGAAGAAAATCTTCCCAGAACACAGGTATGAATCTCCAGATGGAAAGGCCCAACAAAATAATTAGCACTTAACTGTGAAATTTCAGTTCACTGAAGCTAAAAGCTTCCAAAAAGAAAAATGGGTTACCTTCTAAGGATTTGTTGTAAGCATTTGTCTTCTTAATAGCAACATTGAAAAACAGAAAATAATTAAGCATTGCCTTTAAAATGCTGAAGGAAAAGTAATTTCAACTTAGAATTCTGTGTTTACTCAGCCACTTTATCATTCAAATGGGAAAGTAGCCTAAAGAAAATTTTGGTCACTCATGGTCTCAAAAAAAAAAAAAAAGGGCTCTTAAACCCTTTTTTAGGAAACTACTGAAGAATAAATTATTTCTCTAGAATGAGGGAATAAATCAAAAGACGCTATTATGTGCCATCCAGGAAAGGGAGTCTGACCCAAATGAGAGGTGCAGAGGGCTCAGGTCAACACCGAAGTCCCAGGACGGCAGTGGCGCAGTTGGCCTAGGGAGTAACTGCAGATGGCAGCAGCAGGCAGCCAGGGGGGCTGTTTCCAGTGCTCAGCGACTTCACCTCATCTCTGCTGGGTTTTACCTTCCGGAGAATCCTACCGAAAGGTATCTTACAGAGTTGGTAGAGGTTATAGGGAAGAACCCCAGAATTTAAATAAAACCGAGTATCTGTAGTACAAAAGCAGAAAGTGGAAACTGAAGTGCATGCACTGCCTGGCTCAGTGGTGAGCAATACTTAAACACTACAATAGTGTAAGCAAGCTTTAACCAAAATTGTGAGATTATGAGGAGGATGGATGAAAGGACATGGATGTAAACAAAGGCGAAAATCCTCAGCTGACATGATAAAAAGCCAATAGATAAGTCTAAAATTGGATAAAGAGAGAGCAGTATAAATACGACATTTAGAAATAGTTGATAAGTTCTAGGAAGAAACACAGTAGAGTTGAAAGTGCTTATCTCTAGGGAACAGGATGGTGAACAGAAGACTGATAATTTTATTGCAAGCCTTTTAGGGCTATTTAACTTTTAAAACTGCTTATATTACTTTTAATAAATTTAAATGTTGACTAAAATGTTTCAAGTCCCTTTTTATTTATTTCATCTTATGCTGAACTTTGTTTTTTTATACCATGTATTTGCTTTTAGATAGAAAGAATTAGATGTAATGAAGAGTAACTGATTTTGAGAGTCCATAAGTTCATTGAAAACCACTTTTTTATGTTAAATTGCATACAGTAAATGCAGAGTAAATGTTTTGGTTATATCTTAAATTTATTAACAAGGTTCAGAGGAGTCATTTTTTAGAACTTTTCTGTATTAACATTTAAATCTATGACTGGAGATTACAGAGACTCAATACAAAACTCTCTCATTATAATAATGTCCCTTGCTACGCATTTCACAAGTAAACCTTCATAAAGAGGATTATGCCTTCAGTTCGCATTGCAGCCTGTATAGAAGTGTTGCATGGCAAGGAATGGCAGGAATTTTAGATACACAGATGGCTTTTCTGTTACATACGACAGGAACCAAAGGAAGCTCTTAAGGCTCCTCAGTTCTTGTCTGCACAGTAACAAGTCTACACCCACTTCCAACAATAGACAACTGCTGCTGTCCAAGCTAGGAAGCATTGCAAAGGGCAATACCAAGTATGTGTGTTACCCTCGGTCAGCCATGCCTCTGTGGGAAGTGCGGACCCTTGAAGATCACATATTAGGAGAGCTCCTAAACTGTGGAAAGATCTAACAGAGTATTCACATTACAGCCTGCCCCGTTGTCACCCTTCGCACCAGCATGGGCTGGGAACTCTTAGGCTATTACCTTCTGGAGCTAGTTAATTTTTTTAGTAGATCAGTGTTGATGTTTCCATTTTTTGGATTTAAATCAGTCGTTATTTGCTAATGATCAAGCATCTTTTCATTGGTTATCCTGACTAGGTTATGTCTTAAATTTCCTTGTAAGACCCACAATACCTAACACAATTACCTCCCCAACATACATAGCTAACAGTTGATTGTCATTCTGTTGAATAGATTGTCTAAAGTTGCATAGTTTTTTTCCCCCATGTACTGGAGATGTCAAAGGGCTGAGAACAACTTCTCTATGGGGGAAAATCTGACAGAGGCAATAATGTAATCCATGCATTTCTTTCCTTTCTTTTTTTTCCCCCATAAATGAGAAAGGAAAATTTATTTCAGACACAAAGGACATTAAAGCAATTTTAAGAGAATGTTTTGTTCGATTATCTAGTAATAAATGAGAAAACTTGGATAAAATAAAGTTTTCCTAGTTACCAGTATTAACAAAAGTGTAGGTTAAAAGAAAAAGTATTAGTATTTGGCCAGATAGATAGTTACACAGAGAGAGACATGCCAGCCAAATCACGCCCATACCCACACACACATGTCTTTAAATATTTTATATTGTTAATTAGAAAAATATTATTGGGAAAATTAACAGCAAACAATTCTTTAAGGTTTATGAAAAATAACCAGATGATTAGGTAATCACATTTTTAGCTTTAAAATAAGGTTATATGCTGTATTTTTTAACCAAAATGATTAATATTACACCCCAAGAGCAATGCCAATGTACACTGCTAGGCACTTAGGATACCAAGATGATTAGGACTCCTGGGAAGGCAGAGCCTGGAGTTGGGCAGGACACATGGAAGCAGGACACGTCATCGCAGGTGGTGAGGGCCTGCTGAAGGCCGCCGACAGCAGGGCGCTCATAGCACCGTGAATGGCGCTGCAGACCGCCAGCCCCAGGGCCTTTCTGTGGCCGCCCATGTGGTTTCTGGCTAGGCTGGAAAAGTTCTCCCCAGATTGGATGCTTCTGAAGTCTGGGATGACATTGTCAGAAGAGATGTTTGACACTGAAATCAGCAGTAAACTCCCGCATATTGTTACAATCGAACATTTGTTATGATTGGTAATCATTTAAGAGTTAGTCAGTCAGTCCGCTTGAGAAGAACGACAGTGAAGCTCCTGACTGTCAAATAAGGCAAAGGAAAGTATCAGGCCAGCGACCCGCCCAGGGGGCCCTGGGTCAGGGAACCACTGGAAGCTTGAGTTTTTGAAAGCCCGATTTTTTAAAAGCTGTTTTGTAGCCTATTTATATATGAAGTTTTGCTTTGTATGTATACTTTCTATGTAATGATTTTCCTAGCTAATAAAGGCCTGTTTTTTATTACATTTAATATGTCCCAGGGAACATACAGTCCTATGAATGAACTAATAGTCAATAATACATAGCTAACATAGCTAATAAAGCACAGGAATACTTAATAATTAGCAAATGTAGCTAATGAGATGCATTTAAGTTATTATTTAGTTGTACTTCCATTTTATTTAGAATTAAAATGTGTGTATTTAGAAAACAAACAAAACGATTCTACCCAGCCACCGTTCCTCTTGTCCGCAGTGATGTGGGACAGTTCAGGAAGTGAGTGCTTCCACACCTCCGGGCCCCCAGGGGGCGGCACAGAGACTTGCATTGCTGCGTTAGCCGCAGCCAGAGCCCGAATGGTTGTGCACCTACCATTATTTCTGCCCAGGGTTTACTTATGAACGTGCCTGGCTTTTCTGTGGTAACTAATTATAGTGAAGAATACCAATAATCGGAATAGAAGAATGCTAATAATAGATAACACTGATCAGTCACAGTATGAAGTACTATGTGAGTTAATCCGCACAAAATCCTGTGAGGTTGAGTGCAGCACAAAAGGTTATCCTGACTTCACAGCCGAGGAGACACAAGTGTGAATCAAGATTTAAAACCAGACGTCCTGAAGTCTGGCCTTAGGTCCCCAGCTACTGTGTCATGCTGCTCCACATCATGTAATCTGAGCTTCCCAAAAACCCCATGAGGAAAACAATACAAGCTTGTACCTCAGTTTTGTAGTGGAGGAGAACATCTCTTGGAGGGAGTAAGCAGGTTGAAGTCTCACAACCCATTTGTGTGTAGCTGGGCCTGGAACTACATCTTTCAAAACAGCCAGCAGCAAAGAGCAGCACGGGGAAATGTTTGGGAGGGAACCCCTTTGCTTAGAGGCTGCACCTCCTGCAGCGGGGAGCTGCGTCACGCAGCTCAGGACGGTACAGTGCCAAAGCAGACACCCGGCAGCAGGCGCCCAGCTGTGACTTGGCTAGCTCTCTGAACTGGGGAGGTGGGTTTGCCACCTGCTTGCTGTGTGATCTTCAGTAGATCATTCCTTACACCAAGTCTTAGCTGCTTCCATCAAATACAAACGGCATTTGTGTAACGTTATCAGAATTAAAGGAGGTCACACATATAAGAAACATAGCCGAGTGCCTAGCATATAGAAGATACTTAATTGAAGTTAGTTTCCTTCCTAGTTGAGTGAATTTTTCGTTCTTTATTTCCGCAGCATTTATCTAGCCGGCAGAGTGTACAGCAAAGCACATCCCAGGTAAGCAGCTCACAGGCCCCTCAGTCTTTTCCCTCAGCTGTCCTCTAAGAGACCATACACCGGGTGCCCCAGGAGAGGACAGGCACCACCAGCTTCTCCCGTGTGGCCCTTTCTGCCGTGGGGCCTGGCCTCCAGGCAGGTTGGGCCCATCTCCGCCCCTCTCTGCAAGCCTACATGGGCACCATGGAAACAAATGAGGCTGAGAGGCTCAAATGAATCAATCTGGGAGAAAATAGAAATGCTGTTTAGAGTGGTAACCACTACGGTCTAACGGTATAAATCAAGTGCGCCAGGGTCATCACGGCATCTCCAAGAACTGCCTCTGAAAATGGCTCCCTGGAGAACTAGGTGGTGGTGACCCGGTGGGGATTTTGAGTTTACTCATAGGTTGAATTACTGCCCCCGAATCCCCTTCATTGTTTGCTTCTCCCAGCTGCATATTTGCCCACCGCAAACCAAGCGTGCTGACACAGCTCCCTTACTAGCAGGGAAAACACCTCCAGTCTCTCTGAATGATGCCCTTCAGCAGAATAAGGACGGCTCACCACTTAGCGTTCATGCTGTTTCTGGTCGGTGTGGTGAATACCCAGGATGGAAATCACTGTGCTTTGCCTTCCGCACTAGGTAGACACGATGCGCCCACGTCACGGGGAAAGCTGTCGGATGCCAGTGCCACATCACTTCTTCCTCAGCCTGAAGAGCTTCACCTACAATACCATTGGGGAAGATACTGATGTCTTCTTTTCCTTATATGATATGAGAGAAGGCAAGCAGATCAGGTAAAGGTTTCTAGATGTTGTGATGAGGTTCGGGTCGGTGCAGGATGGTATGGCCTGGCCACCGGCATCTCTGGCCCCCAGGGAAGAGAGCTGCACAGAGGAGGCAAACGAGATAAAGTGACATCCTCTTAGTGGGTATCTGTGCCTCCCACCCCAGTGTTCCTTGACGTCACCTGTGGCCTCTTGGGTATCCTGAGCCTACTTGCACGTGGGAGTTCTGATCCCGGTCTTGGCTCTCAGCATGGGTGGGGAGGGGAGGTGGATGGGTGCATCTGCTCTGCGTCAGAGAGAACGCACAGGAGGCCAAACAAAGCAAATTCAGCGGAGAGGCCCAGCCCCAGAGTGCAGGAGGCCCTGGGCTCTGCCCCCCTGCAGTGGGAGAGAGGGTCCAGGGGAAGAGCGGCTAACGACGCTCAGTGCCCTTGCAGCCCTGTGAGGGGCTCAGTGTCTTCTGGGCAGAAGGGGAGGCTGGCCTGACCCCATGGTCCCTCTTCAGCCAGGGTGGAAGGAGAGGCTGCCGAGAGGGGCAGGCGGGCAGCACATCGTGTCTCGGCAGAGAAGCGAGGCTTCGCCCCGAGCACCTGCATCAGTGCTCCCCTCTGGAGGGCGGGAGGCTCGGGGGGCCCGCTAGGCTCCCCTCTGGAGGCCACTGGGGCTCCCGTGGGTGAGGTGGCCTTCACGGCCAACTCAGAATTTTAAGGACTCTGAGCATTTCTCTGTGATTGTCTTCTGGGTGGGGCACAGAGAAAATAAATCTGGAGGTACTTTTGTATAAAAATATATTATTTGGGGTCTTCATGTATTAAGAGTGCTTTATGGGTTTTTTGCCTTGTATTTTTTACTTAAATTCGAAAACAACTGTTGTACATTTCCAATTGCCTGTTAGATGTGGGAGAATCAAAAATTAAAGTGATAGATAATAGATTAGAAAAGAAAAGCATTAATTTCCATGCTCCACAGCACCTCTGATCTTGACCCTCCCCCCCAAATTAAAGCATTCTGTTTCACCTTGGCATAGAACTAAAATGATACTCTTGCTGGGGAGGGCGTGGGGGCTTTCCTCATCACCAGTGGCTCCCAGTATGTGCTCCCGGGAAAGTCGTGTAGCGAAGGCCATGTGGAGCGGGCAGCTCCAGCGCCACACATGGGTGGGGTGGCGGGCCATGCTCTATGGCCTAGACTCTGGCCCCTCTTGTTTTTCTACTATATCAGAGCTTTGTCAGCTTCATTATTTATTTTTGTGTGTAGAAAAGTCCTTCCTTGAAGCTCAGTTTTATGAGAAAATTTAGTATATGAAACCTAAAACCCCTCCACCATTGAAGGGAAGGGGAATGATGGGAATCTCACAGCCCCAGCCCCACCCCATACCTGTGGCACCGCTGGGAGTCCACGCAGTGCAGGTGAAAACCAGGGCACGCCTCTCTGTCATCACTGAGTGCCCAGGGTGGGGCCGTCTGTCTGTGACTGCAGCCCCTCACCCAGGGCCTGCTTTAATGGGCTTACTGCCCAGGCAAGACCCACGCCACAGTCCCCCGGGGTGCCCTGTGGCTCTGGGTTGTATCCGAGCAGGCGTATCAGTGAGCAAGGTGCTTCATCTTTAGACGTACTGTTTGTAATTAGCCTCAAGAAATAATCAAGCATTTTAAAAGAAGAAATGTAAGAAAACCTGTTTTTGGTAGAATTTCTGGAAATGTTTAAGATCATTTAAAAATCTGCGTCAGAGAACTGTTACCACCTTCCCATTCACATAATACAACTATAGGGTCCTTAGTTGAAAATATCACGTACTCTCTTTAGTTTTACAAGTGAACCAATGGGCAGCATTTTAGATCCAAGTTTAATCAATAAATATTCTTTCTTCTTTCCATTAGGATTGTGTGGTTGTATAAGCCTTGAAAAAGTTTAGGTCATTCAGCTGGTAATACCAGATAATCATGCTTTCATTATGATTAGGTATTAAGTTGGTTATACATCATTTTCAAAGCAGTTGTCAGAAGTCATTGAAGGTCGGAGAGATGTTACAGGAGGTGTGCAGAGCATTGATAGAGAGCAGTTGGTTGAATTGTTTCTTCTTCTCAAGGGACCCTCGAGTGACTATCTTTCCAGTCAAATATTGCTGGTCTAGTCTGCAGTCGAATGGTGCTGTTCTGAGCTCAGGATTGCCAGACCGTCGCAGCTCGCTGCCAGAGAACACGTGTGCACAGGGGAGCAGGCTGAAGAAGCCACCTGTTCCTCCACTGTAGGTCTCATTGCTGATTCTGCTGCGAACCTAGAGGGGCTGATGCGAGTGACACATCACAGACCCTCCTTCTGCACCCTGAGACCCACGGCCTGCAGAGGATTGGGTGGTCCTCAGGAGGGAGAGCAGCACCTGGCAGGGCCTTGGTAGTTTCATCATTCTAAACAGAATCATAACTATTTAGTCCTGGAACCTTAATCTCAAATTAAGACCTCTCCCCTGATCTTCAGGTCCTCATTGCCTTTTCCTCCCAGACGTCTGCCCTTAGTCAGCCCCCATGCGTTTCTGCCTCAGCATGTCTCAGCTGATTCATTTTCTGTCCTCACATGTGCACTTGGCCCTGCACCCAGGAAGTCCATGGAGGGGATTATCATGTGCGCAGAGATCCATGTCAGAATCTTGGGAGTCGGCTTAGGCTCTGCCCGCCCTGCTCTCCCCCAGCAGTCAATCACTGCGTCCTGTCAACTTCTGTCTCCTAAGTATCAGTCAGCTCACTGCCCCGCTCCTCTCTGCTGTCACCCCAGATCCTTCACATTTCTCCCAGAGACCCCCTGCTCTACTGTCTTCCTACCCTACGGTATTTCCACACCAGCACTGTTCATGTCTTTTGAACATGCAGACCGTTCCTGTGAGCTCCCGCCTAACCAGAAGCTCTCGTCACTTGGCGTGGCAAAGAGGCCTGCGTGATACAGTTCTGCCCGTTTCCCTAGCCTTATTTCACATATCCTCTTACGCCGGATGACTTACCTGGCTTGCTCTAAACGTGCCTTGTTCTTTCATACCTCCCCACCTTTGTTGGCATGGTAACCTCCTTTCTGTTCTTTAAAACTCAGTTTTATGAAACTTTCCTCAGTGTTCATGGGTGGCCTCAGACCCTGGTATTTCATTGTGCCCACGATCGCACCCTGTACCTAACCCTGTCCCATTACTAGAGATTATACTGTAATTGTCCACATGCATGTAGATTTCCCCACTGGAAGGGGGGCTTCCTTGTGTGTCTTTTGTAGTATTTTACCCCCAGTGCTCAATGCAGGACTTTGGATATTGGACTATTAAATAGATACTTATTGAGTGAATGAATGAAAGTGCATCTATCATATAAGTACCAATAATCACCTGTGAATTGAGAAATTTTCATTTAACTGAACAGTTAAGTAAGCATTATCTGAGAGCTTCCTGTTTGTGGCCCCCGCGATGACTGCTAGGGATTTAGAAGTTAGAAAGAAATGTCCCTGCCCCTGAGGAGGTCTGAGCAGGACTTTACAGGATTCCTAAAGGATGTGAAACATGTTTTCCCCGTTTTAAGTACCAAACAAGCTGAGTGGAAAAGTAAAATGAGGAGATGTCTTACTGACACGTGGCAGGACTTGAAACACAGCAAGGAGTCATGGAAAAAGAAACAAGATACAACCTGTTAAGACAGACACTTTAAGAGTTTTCCTAAGCTGAAAAAAAAAAGAAGTTCTGTTTGTTTTATGTTTTTTCTAATAAATTCTATTTCAGACTTTGCTTTATATTTAAGGTTAAATTGTATAGCTTGGGAAATAAAAGCCAGCTTTGCAGTGTTACTGGGATATATAGAATCAAAAATTAAAGTGATAGATAATAGATTAGAAAAGAAAAGCATTAATTTCCATGCTCCACAGCACCTCTGATCTTGACCCTCCCCCCCAAATTAAAGCATTCTGTTTCACCTTGGCATAGAACTAAAATGATACTCTTGCTGGGGAGGGCGTGGGGGCTTTCCTCATCACCAGTGGCTCCCAGTATGTGCTCCCGGGAAAGCCGTGTAGCGAAGGCCATGTGGAGCGGGCAGCTCCAGCGCCACACATGGGTGGGGTGGCGGGCCATGCTCTATGGCCTAGACTCTGGCCCCTCTTGTTTTTCTACTATATCAGAGCTTTGTCAGCTTCATTATTTATTTTTGTGTGTAGAAAAGTCCTTCCTTGAAGCTCAGTTTTATGAGAAAATTTAGTATATGAAACCTAAAACCCCTCCACCATTGAAGGGAAGGGGAATGATGGGAATCTCACAGCCCCAGCCCCACCCCATACCTGTGGCACCGCTGGGAGTCCACGCAGTGCAGGTGAAAACCAGGGCACGCCTCTCTGTCATCACTGAGTGCCCAGGGTGGGGCCGTCTGTCTGTGACTGCAGCCCCTCACCCAGGGCCTGCTTTAATGGGCTTACTGCCCAGGCAAGACCCACGCCACAGTCCCCCGGGGTGCCCTGTGGCTCTGGGTTGTATCCGAGCAGGCGTATCAGTGAGCAAGGTGCTTCATCTTTAGACGTACTGTTTGTAATTAGCCTCAAGAAATAATCAAGCATTTTAAAAGAAGAAATGTAAGAAAACCTGTTTTTGGTAGAATTTCTGGAAATGTTTAAGATCATTTAAAAATCTGCGTCAGAGAACTGTTACCACCTTCCCATTCACATAATACAACTATAGGGTCCTTAGTTGAAAATATCACGTACTCTCTTTAGTTTTACAAGTGAACCAATGGGCAGCATTTTAGATCCAAGTTTAATCAATAAATATTCTTTCTTCTTTCCATTAGGATTGTGTGGTTGTATAAGCCTTGAAAAAGTTTAGGTCATTCAGCTGGTAATACCAGATAATCATGCTTTCATTATGATTAGGTATTAAGTTGGTTATACATCATTTTCAAAGCAGTTGTCAGAAGTCATTGAAGGTCGGAGAGATGTTACAGGAGGTGTGCAGAGCATTGATAGAGAGCAGTTGGTTGAATTGTTTCTTCTTC